ACACACACACACACACACTCACGCACACACAACACTCACACACAATACACACACATTACGTGCAAACGCCACGCGCAACACCTGACCAAAGCAAACACAGGCAACCACTAAACGTAAGCTTCCAATGGCAACCATCTGGGCACGCAGGGGATACCAGCGATTGTACCCCATGCGCACACATGCGTGTTGGGTGCAACTCCATGCGCGCGTGCGCACGCAAGCTCAGAGAAGCGGCGCTTCCCGTTCTTGTCCAGAAAGGTTCCCAACAATGCGATTTCGCCTGATATATTCTGACACAGATGAGATCTTCGCGACATCGCGTTGAACAGAAACAAGCGTTTCGATCGAGACATCCTCGAAGAATTGTTCGCCGCGGAATTCATTCATCTGTAAAAAATTGCGCTTCGCCTAAGACATCCTTGCAGTTTTGTTTCGCCGTTGACGCAGCTAGTGTTTGTAGTGTGGAAGAATGTAGGCATCTTGGTGGCGTCCTTGGGAGGTTCGGGAACCATTCGGAGCCGTCTTGGTGCGCTCATGAGACCATCTGGAGCCATATGTTGATCCTTTGCTTAATTTAGGAAGCCGGTCTGGGCCTCCTGGGCGTGCGAGGACCACCTTAGGTGTTTTGGACGCTCTGACGCGCCGCGCCGCGCCCCCCTACATCGAGACCCAGAGAGAGGAAGCAGGGGAAACGTAAATCTTCCCCCGAAGGAGGTAAAGGAAGTTGGAACAATACATTCGCCGGTACGATTACAGGGGGAGAAGCCAGCCCAGGGGGATGGGGGAGTGTCCAAGAGTTTTCGGGCCCCCGCGTTGAACATACACCGATTCGCCGAGGTCTTGCGAGGAGGGTGTCTCAGGGGGCCTTCTGGAGCTCACCAGATCTATTGTTTTTTTTTGTGTTTTTTTAACATATCTTTCTGAGTATCCTGGATCTTTCTCGTCGCCGCGACCAGATGGGCATCCCAAGCATGTCAGGATGGACCCTGGTAGGTTTACAGAAAAAGATGTTTGGAGGATTTGGCCGGGCGGGAGAGCCGCCCTTGTCTCAATTCTTCACGCTTCGCGGATCCCCACCAGCCCATTCAGAAGCCCTGCCCACGAGAGCTGACGGGAAAAGGGACGAAGGGACACATTTAAGGAAACAAGGCGAGCAACCAGGATGAACCGAGAGATGTTTGGGAGCAAGGGGGTGGCCTTGGAAGGCCTCTTCGGGCCATCCCATGGGGCCGCGTGGGGGCGAGGGGAAAGGGAAGAGGAGGAGGAGGAGGCCTCTTGGGCGCCTCTTGGGGCACTCTTCGGGCCTCCTGGCAGCTTCTTGGGGGCCTCTTGGAGGGTTATGGGGGACCTTTGGGGGCTTCTTGGGGGCCTCTTTGGCATTCTTAGGGTGTTCCTGGCTTATCTTACGCTGTCGGAGCCCGTCTTGGGGGCCTGTATGGGTTGTCGTGGGGCCCTCTTGGGGCATATCAGGGGTTTTTAGAGGCCATCTTGGGCGTCTTGGAGGCCTCTTCGGCCGTTTTGGGGCCCTCTTGGGACTGTCTTGGGGGCCTTCCGGGCCGTCAAGGGGCCATATTGGAGGCCTCTTGGCCGATCTTGGGGGCCTCTTGCGCCGTCTTGAGCCGTCGGAATGCCGAGAAGAAGCAAATGCCAAAATCTGTCAAAAACCTAAAGGGAATCAATGATTTGGGCTTCTTCGGGCCCTCCTGGGAGACCTCCTGGACGCCTTTTGGGCCGTCTTGGAGGCCTCTTGGGGGCCCCTTGGGCCGTCTTGCGCCATCTGGAGGCCATCTAAGGCCGTCTTGGGTGCATCTAGGGCCGTCTTGGAGGCGTCTTGGGGCCATCTTAGCCGTCTTGGAGGCCATTTTGGCCGTCTTGGAGGCCTCTTGGGCCCTCTTGGGGCCATCTTGGGGGCCTCTTGGGACGTCATGGGGTCATCTTGGAGGCCTCGTGGGCGATCTTGGGGGCCTCTTGGGCCGTCGCGAGCCGTCGGAATGCTGAAAAGAAACACATGCCAGAATCTTTCAAACACCTAAAGGAAATCAATGATTTTGGTCTCTCTGGGCCCTCCTGGAGGACATGTTGGAGGCCTTTGGGGCTGTCTTGGAGGCCTCTTGGGGGCTTCTTGGGCCGTCTTAGGCCATCTGGAGGCCATCTCAGGCCGTCTTGGGTGCATCTTGGGCCGTCTTGGAAGCATCTTGGGGCCATCTTAGTCGTCTTGGAGGCCATCTTGGGCGTCTTGGAGGCCTCTGGGGCCGTCTTGGGGCCATCTTGAAGGCCATCGATCAAAGGAGGAGGTGGCCAGAGTGAGTGGGCTGAACCGAACGCTCATTCACTGTCCCTGGGTGCGTGGCTGAAGTGGAATTCCGCGATGCGGATTATCGTTGTTGCTGTTGTTGTTGAACCTCAATTACTAAACAATTATTATTGTTGGACCCCCTATATTCGCCCTGGCGCTCTCGCCGAGGCGCCGGCCGCATTTCCTCTGAAATTGAGGCTCACGCTCAGGCGTTTTGGGGTTCCGCCAAAACCGGCCCCCCAACAACAACAACGCTCCGGCTCGAGACTTCCTCCTTTTTTACTCGGGCTCGGTGCTCTTGCTCGCCGCCGAGAGCGGCTCCCGGGCCGGACGCCCGGGTCGGCGCCCGAGCCGGCGCCCGGGCGCCGGAAAATCGAGTTCCGAGGCGGCGCCGAAAAAAGGCCATTCCAATACACATTTTCTTTCGAAATGCTGAATTTCTGCTTCCGGCGCCCGGGAGGGAGGCCGTCCGGGCCGATTCCGGAGCTCGGGCCGGCACCCGGCCCGGCTCCCGGGCCGGACGCCCGGGTCGGCGCCCGAGCCGGCGCCCGGGCGCCAGAAAATCGAGTTCCGAGGCGGCGCCGAAAAAAGGCCATTCCAATACACATTTTTCTTTCGAAAATGCTGAATTTCTGCTTCCGGCGCCCGGGAAGCCGTCCGGGCCGATTCCGGAGCTCGGGCCGGCACCCGGCCCGGCTCCCGGGCCGGACGCCCGGGTCGGCGCCCGAGCCGGCGCCCGGGCGCCGGAAAATCGAGTTCCGAGGCGGCGCCGAAAAAAGGCCATTCCAATACACATTTTTCTTTCGAAAATGCTGAATTTCTGCTTCCGGCGCCCGGGAGGCCGTCCGGGCCGATTCCGGAGCTCGGGCCGGCACCCGGCCCGGCCGGCACCCGGCCCGGCTCCCGGGCCGGACGCCCGGGCAGTTCCGATCGCGCCGAAAAGAGGCCATTCCAATACACATTTTTCTTTCGAAAATGCTGAATTTCTGCTTGCGGCGCCCGGGAAGCCGTCCTGGGCCGATTCTGGAGCGGCTTTGGGCCGGACGCCCGAGCCGGCGCCCGTACGTGGTGTTTCTCTGCTTCTGGCGCCTGCGCAGCTTCCCGAGCCGCTTCTGGAACCATATCTGGGCCGGTCCAGGAGTCCAGCGATAGGTTTCCTGGATGTGCTGAACCATCCAACTTGTTGAGACTTCTGCGTCTCAAGGATAGGAAGAGAAGACATTAAAGGAGGATCAAAAAGCAACGTCGCTATGAACGTTTGGCTGCCACAAGCCATTTCTACTTACTTGGACTACTACTACCGTTACCACTACTACTAGTGCTACAGCCGCAACAACAATATCATCAACTGCTGCTACTACAACTACTCATCCTTCCTCCCCCTCCTCCCCCTCCCATTCTCCTCCTCCCCCTCCCTATCTCTCTCATCTCCCTCTCCTCTTCCTCTTCCTCTCCCTCTGAGATGCGGGGCATGCGCAAGGCGATTGCGAAGGCGATGTGCCGTCCGAGCTATGGATGTTGAAGTTCCTCGGAAGAGGTGGTGGCCAAACCTTCTTGGGCGGGATATCTGGGTGAAGGAATATCGGATCCCGCATGCCAGAAAAATCCCCCATGACGGGGTGTGTTATCCAGATGGATGCATGTGGCATGTGGAAGCATGGCGCATGAGGGTAAAATGATTGTTGTTGTTGTTGCTGTTGCTGTTGCTGTTGCTGTTGTTGTTGCTGCTGTTGTTGCTGTTGCTGTTGCTGTTGTTGCTGTTGCTGTTGTTGCTGTTGTTGCTGTTGTTGCTGGTGTTGCTGTTGTTGCTGTCGTTCGTTGTTTGTTGTTGTCGTCGTCCCACCCGCGACCCGCCCCGCGACCCACCCGCGACCCACCCCGCGACCCACCCCGCGACCCACCCGCGACCCACCCGCGACCCACCCCGCGACCCACCCCCCACCCGCGACCCACCCGCGACCCGCCCGCGCCCCGCCCCGCGAACCCATCCCGCGAACCCGCGGACCCACCCGCGACCCACCCGCGACCCACCCGCGACCCACCCGCGACCCACCGCGACCCACCCGCGACCCACCCGCGACCCACCCCGCGACCCACCCAAAATTTTCGGCGCTTGCGGCGGGCTTCTTTTGCATTCGTTCCAGGTGGAGAAGCCGCGACCCACCCGCGACCCAAACCGCGTTCAGTGTACAAGTCAAAATTTTCGGCGCCTGCGGCGGGC